ACCGATGACCTGGTTTCACAGATAATTGAAGACTTCAGGGATCTTGGAGGGGAACTGGTGACAAGGAAAGTCCAGATGATCATCACAGAGATCTTTGTGGTTCCACAAGCAAGGGAACTCAGGCAGAAGATTCTTGGGGTGAACTGATGGCTAGGTAAGTGACTGGAACATCACAGCCCCTCTTCCCATATAAGATGGCCTACAGTTCAGTTCCCCTTCCATTGTGAAGGACGCTGTCTAATCTTGGTTATCGACGGGCTAGACAAGTCAGGTAGGTGTTAAGCTGCGACAGAGGAGGGCATTAAGGGAGTAACCACCATTCATATGCTCAAATATGTAACTTGGTCTCGAGGTGTCATGGATGTAAATCAAAGTATCAAAAGACATAAAAGGAATAAATGTATTTAATTTCTTCTATGTCATTCCCAGGAACCTGTGTATTAAACAGGAGGGATTGGAATTTCTTTCATGTGTAAAAGAAAATTTGACGTTGGTAATAAAAACATGATGGGAAGATTCACATGACTGGAATATTAAAATCACTGGCTATAACCAGGAAGGGTAGAGGGAGCTGGACACATAATCAGAGGCTTTATCTGCACACAGACTTGCACCAGTTCAACTTCGTTTGTTTATAAACGAATGTAGTTAAATCAGTGCTAGTTTGCATGTAGACAAGTCCAAAGATGCTATTACCTGCTTTAGAATTATTGACAACTTGGAAGCACAAGATCTTAAGGAATATTTGGGGATCAATTATAGGGCACAAAAGAAGACATTGAAAGGAGTCTGTTATGGATTACCAAATAAGATTAGAGAACGGGGTAAACAGCTCATTAAGCACCTGTCTGTAATGAATAGAAAGAAAAAGTGCATTATCCAGGGAGGATTCCAACCTGAGAGATTTGATGGCATGAGACCTGTAATAATAGAAAATTATAATTTTGAAAAAAGAAAAGGAGTACTTGTGGCACCTTAGAGACTAACCAATTTATTTGAGCATGAGCTTTCGTGAGCTACAGCTCACTTCATCGGATGCATACTGTGGAAAATACAGAAGATGTTTGTTTTTATGCACACAAATCATGAAAAAATGGATGTTTATCATTACAAAAGGTTTTCTCTCCCTCCACCCCACTCTCCTGCTGGTAATAGCCTATTACCAGTAAAGTGATCACTCTCCTTACAATGTGTATGATAATCAAGATGGGCCATTTCCACCACAAATCCAGGTTTTCTCCCCCACCCCACCCCCACAAACAAACCCACTTTCCTGCTGGTAATAGCTTATCTAAAGTGATCACTCTCCTTACAATGTGTATGATAATCAAGATGGGCCATATCCAGCACAAATCCAGGTTTTCTCCCCACCCCCAACACACACACACAAACTCGCTCTCCTGTTGGTAATATTTATTTGAGCATAAGCTTTCGTGAGCTACAGGTAATTACAAATGGATAGTCAGATACAGACTATCAGTCCTCATTCTCAAAGGCACCTGCACAACACTTTCAAAAGACGAGCTTTGGAGCTTAAATTCATAACTTTGCTAGACACTAAAAATCATGGTCTTAATAAAGACTGGATTTATGGCATTCCAGCAGTCTGTAACTCACTAACATCCCTTTACTACAGGGCCCCTTTAGAATGTGATAATTACTGATGCTAAACTATCTGTTTGACCTTGTATTTAGCTGTGACTCTCTGAATACCTTTCCCAGACCTGAGGGAGAGCTCTATCGTTTGAAAGCTTGTTTCTCTCAGCAACAGAAGTTGGTCCAATAAAAGATACTACCTCACCGTCCATGTCTGTCTGGTTAGCCCGATGCCAGGCATAATAATGGAACTGATAATATATGCTTCTATCAATAAAGAATTTAAGGATGGAAATGCCAGTCAGAAGGGCTAGACAGAATATAGTTCTTGTAGTAAAAATAAAATTTATACTCTTGTAAAATAATTATATCAAGAACAAAGATAATTACGCTGATGTAATTTACTTGTATTTCCTAAAGGCATTTGCCTTCTTAGAACTGTACAATTTTTGATTTAAAAATAAATAAATAAAGCACTGAACCATATTAATGTGTGGTCCCTATTAAATGGATCAAAAATATTATTTAAGTGGGGGTTTTTGAATGGGGCTGTTTCTAGTATGGCCCTGTAGTGAAGAATTAGAGAAAGGAATGCCCAGTGGTTAGGGCCCTAGCCTGCAACAATGGAGACCTGGGTTCAGTTCCCAGCTCTGTGTGACCTGGGGCAACTTACATGAGGCCCAGATCCACAAAGGTGTTTAGGCACTTAAATCCCAGTTTTGGCTCCATGGTGATCCACAAAACTCCTGCCAAACCCTATAGGTGTCTAAACTAACTCAGTGCCTACATTTCTGCCTCTGAACGTGCACACTGCCACCTCCTGCTAAGCCTCCAAGTGCCTATCTCCTGCCTGAGCCTCAGGACAGTTCACAAATCAGGGGAAAATAGAAATTTGCTTAAGTTGTGGAGGGGTCTCACCCATTGGATCGGATTCCATTTGAAATGTGGTAAAAAGTGTGCCACCAAATAACTTCTAGCCCAGTGGTTAAAGCACCCTCTTGAGAGGTGAGAGACCCCCTGTTCAAATTCTTTCTCCCCCTCCAGCAGAGAGAGGAATTGAACGTGGGTCTCCCATATCTCAAATGAGTGCTGTAACCACTGTGCTAAAAGTTATAGGGTGGCTAGCTTGAAGACGAATGTAGTTTTGAATAAACTATTGGTAAAACCCATTTGATCTAGAGGCTACCACCTCATTAGTTTTTGTGTCTCAGTTGCCTTCCTTGTGGCCATTGCTTTGGCAGAGACTGTTAATTGGCAAGAAATTCAGTTTACAAAGATGCTTTTTCTATCACTTTTCCTGATGAAATAGAACTCTGGGCAGCACCCAAGTTCCCTCCTGAAGTTGTTTCTCCCCTTCAGTTAGGATATTATTCTCCTAAATTAGAGAAATAAATTTAATGGCATCACCTAGAAGTCTGAGCCATTACATTTTATTAGGGTAAATAATTTTTCAGGAAAACAAATGCTTTACTTTTTAGGCCTGTATTCTTCCCATCCACCAGATCCTACTGTCATGTTAACAGATGCAGCAACCACCAGTTGTGATGCCCTCTAAGAGAAGAGCTCTGGAATACAACATAAGCTTACATGTTTGTGTGTTAAAATTGAGAGCAATTTGATCACCGCTGATGGCCTTTTCCTCCCTTAGGTACCCGGAAGAGTTGTGTAAATATTAAGACAGTACCATCATGCATTCTATCAGCATTTAGGATGGAACTGGATCTGTCTGAGAGAAAATAGCATCAGTTTATCTTAAGGTCTGATTCTAAACTAATTTTGTTATACTTGTACAAAAGGGCTAGGGATATCCTTATTATGGTTTTAAACAAATTTCAGTTGAAATGGTGCAGCTTTCTCTGGGTATGTCTACACAGCAAAGAAAAACCTGCCAGCTGATTTGGGCTCATGGGGCTTGGGCTGCAGGGCTGTTTCACTGCTGTATGGACTGCCCAATTTGGGCTGGAGCCCAGGCTCTAGGACCCTGTAACATGAGAGGGGCCCCAGTCTTGGGCTCCAGCCTGAGTCTGGAAATCTACTTAGCAATGAAACAACCCAAGTCGGCTGGCACGGTGGCTAGTTACTGTGTAGACCTATCCTCCGAGACAAGGCTTAGGACCAGTGGACTCTGTCCCTCAACTGCACTGAAAGGGTTTATAAGACTAGTATTTTTTTTTAATTTCAAAGATTTTCATTCCATTTTGGATTTGAGAAAAAGAAATTTCTTAACAAATTCAAATTTTGTGTAGGAATATTAGCGGTCTTTATTCCTCCCTGCAATCTTCAGGAGGGAGTGGAATTCTTGATCTGAAGAGCAATTAATAGTATGTAGTATGTAGGTTGTTTGGATTAAGGTGGCTCTCAAAGGTCCTGGTGAATTTAGAGGCAGCCTCCATGACCCAAAAAGCTTTTCAGTCTAACTTGAAATGAAGCAACAAGTGTTTACAAACAGTGGCTTTATCCTTACTCCCTTTTCCCTCAAGGGTACATAGGTTTTAGTTGTCTTGATTCTGAAAATATAAAAAGGTTTTTTTAATTAATGAAATCTGCTGTACCCAACTGTCACAAACTGTCCGTTCCTGGCTGGCTGATTTCTGCTAGGTGCTGTGCACCTACAACGGTCGCTGAGGCCCTGCTTACACTTTCTTATTGCAGCCTTGCAGGGCCAACCATCATAAGGCCCAAAGCTGTCATTGACATTTTGATTAAATAAACATTAAAGGAAAATATGGGTTTGGGCGGCACACACCTATTTGCATAATTTTAATAGCATTTGCTTTTGTACTTGCCACATAGAAGATGCAGTTTATATTTTTCTTACAAAAACAGAAAAAAAATTAAGAACACCCCAGAAAATTACATTGAATCATACGTAGAAATTTTAGATCCAGCTTATAAAATTTTTGTTCTTGAAATAATAGCCTCTGCACGGCGCACTGTAGAATGCCCCTGAGGTATTTCATACATAGCACTGTAGTAAATGAAACCATGAATTCACACCATTGTCTCTCTTTTGGGGTAATGTTGATTGCTAATTCAGTAGAACCACTGAGGTCTAAGTATGACTGTTTTAAATTGTTATTATGTACTGCAAGGAACAGGCGCTTGCATGCATCCAAAACCCCCATGCATGTTAATGGGAGCCTTTCCACAGACTTCAAAGAGAGTCAGATCAGGCCCTTGTGGAATTCACTGAGTGTTTCCTTCTAGGGAATGCAAAATAAATTAATGGGTGTTTGGGAAAGGCAGAGCTTTGTTATATTGGAGTGGTAGCAATACACTGGGATGGGGGAGAATGTTATCTCCTGAAGGATGTAAACTCACTCATGATTCCCCCACCCCCCCCCCACCACCACCACCCCAAAAAAAACAGTCTTGATCTATTAAGGCTGCATTTGGAACAACATTCAAAACAGGGCCAGGTCCTCAGCTGGGAAATCAGCATAATTTTATTGGGATCTGGTCAACTCACTGATGGGGAAAAATTATGTGGGGAGGGTTGGTTCATATGACATGTTTTATACTTGAGGAGGAAGATTGATTCATAAATAAAATATATTCAAAAGCACTGTTTTAGTGCTTGATCATATTTTTAAAAAAACATTTAAAGCCAGATAAAATTGTATTTTCCATTTCCTTTTCATGCCTACATGCAGTTTCCAGTTGCTTGCATTTAGTTCAAATTTATCATGAAGAAACCAAAGATGATTTTGATTCTTGTATTCCACTCTCACCATGCAAATTTTGCCATTCATTCCCAAATCTTGTGTTTAGTACCTGCATCTTCACCATACTAGCTGGAGCAGTCATTGACAGAGCCACGAATGGTTGTTGGGAGCCTTATCAAGTGAAAAAATTGGAACATTTCCAAACAACTCTGCTCCTAAATTCTGTGTCCAAAGATGTCCAAACAGCCTGTTCCTTGAAGACCAAAATTACATTTGGAATGACAGCAGAAAGTCTGCTTGAAATGTCCATTTTTAGAGAATATAAAATCTCTCTCTAAAAAAAGTTTACCAACCACAATTTTAAAATAAGATGGTCAAATTATCTGCATAATAAACATAATGCAAACTGACAGCAATTGCGAACAGAGAATGGGTGAAAACCATTGCTGGACGGTGACAAAGCTCTGCCTTGTCTCAGCCCCTTTTTAAAACAACCAGCTAAGGTTCTTCTCTAATAACTATCTATTCCTCTGTCCTCGAAAAAGAAAATTGTGTTGAGAAAATAGTGGCATGAAACCTTTAAAAATCTGTTGCTCTGGACTGTCAAGACAATGACTTCATAGATGAGGCCTCGCAGGTTAAAGCCGCAAGCAGTTGGCGCTACTGCTTCCTGTTTAACTTCTGGCCAGTGCAGTTGTGCTGCTGTAGCTCTTCGAAGCCTCCCAAAAATGGATTTTTCTGCCTTTTTTGTGCACAGTAAGGCCCACATGTACACACAGAGTAGAGTGGCTACGTGTTAGCACCAAAATCCTCTTCCTGGGAATGAAAATGCTATGGCCATTACACCTGGCAGATATTGTAATTAACTCCTGTTCGTTCGGACAACGTTTCTACAATCATTTCCATCACGTGGTCTTTGGGCTGGAGAAGGGAGTTCTCGGCAGAAGAAAGCTTCTCTGTGTTGCTCACTGGATCTTGCTGCAAAAACAAGAAAGATCTACTCTTAATTCTGCTCCCTGACCTGCCCACAGTTTTTGTATTTGATTTTAGCTCTGGCACCCCTCTTTTTTTCTCCCAAATGGATATACGTACTTTTTCTGGCTTTGGTGCAAAATCTTTCTGGCAGACATGTGCTATGATGCCCGCAGCCAGTGCATCACCCAGGACGTTGGTCATTGTTCTAAGTCGATCTCTAGAAGAAAAAAGAGCAGTGAGAGCCAGTAGTTTTGGTGAAAGTGCTGATGGTGATCAATATTGGGAAGATTAATCTGATTTCCCCTGCAAGAACACAAGCAAAATAAATAATCTCTTGCATTTCCATACTACCTTTTATCCCAAAGAGATCCCAAAGTGCTTTAAATATATGCACGCACAGTACACTGATTTGTCTCACCTAACATTGCCAGGCAACTGCCTCTGGAGTAACATGCAACAGCTATTCAAAAGGACACTGCCAGGTCATAGAGCCCTACATTTTTGATTTACCAAAATGTGAATTAAAAGTTACAAAAATCTAAAAATTTATAGATTTTTTTTAATAAGAATTTTACTTATATTAGTAGAAGTAGATATTACCTTAGCATATGTATTGATGGGACTACTACTGGAATACTGTATTCAATTTTGGTGTTCCTGCTTTTAAAGAGGATGTTGAAAACAGGATTTAGAGAAGAGCTACAAGATTTGAGGTCTCAAAAACACTTTACAATGCAAGAGTTGGGTAAAATCAATAAAGCTCCTTAAAATGCCTCAGGGAGTTTTAGGATTGCAATTCCCATTGAAAGATTTCTGGTCCTAAATCCTTTAAACTAAGGCCTGGTCTACACTTCATGGTTAGGTTGACGCAAGACAGTTTTTATGTAGACCTCCCTATGGATGTGTCTACACTTAAATTTCGCTTCTTCTGCCGTAACTGCCCCACTACACCAACTGAATAGCACCACCTCCCCAAGCAGCATAGATTCAGGGTGGATGTAGTTAGGTCGATGAAGTATCAGCATAGATGCTACGATACTTACATCAACTGTTCTTGGCTTCCAGGAGCTGTCCCACAATGCCCCACATGGCTGTTCTGGTTGCCATTGTGAATTAGTTGCCCAAGGGTCATGTGGACAATACGCTGCTCCTCCCTTTTAAAACCGTGCACATTTTTGAAATTCTTTTCCCTGATTGCTCGGCTTGACGAGCACACCTAGCCTCTCTTCACGGTTGAATGTAACTGCCCAGCTGACCACGCCGGCTACACGCTGCAGATGTGCTCCTGCCTGGGGTATACAGGAGGTTTTGCATCTCCTGGGCCTGGTGGGAGAAGAGGCTGTGCAAGCCCAGCTCCACTCCAGTCACAGAAATGTGGACATTATGAGCAGATTACTCAGGGACAGCAGGAGAGGAGCTACAAGAGGGACCAGTGGCAGTGCCTCCTGAAAGCCAAGGAGCTGGGGCAGGCATACCAGAAGGCAAGAGAGGCCAACAATTGATATGGTGCGGAGCTGCAGACCTGCCACTTTTACAAAGAGCTGCATGCTGTCTTTGGTGGAGATCTCACTATGACCCCCAAGAGCCCTGTGGATACTTTAAGTGAGCCCAAGTCACAGACCCCTGCTGTGAACAGTGAGGAGGAGGTGGAGGAGGAATATGGGAGCCAGGCGACCGGGGAAATCTAGCTGCCTGGTGAGCCAGGACATGTTTTTGACTCCACCACTCAGCCCCAACAGTCCTGCTGAGGGAAGCCTGATGCAGGGGAAGGAACCTCTAGTAAATATGCCATTTTCTTTGAAATTCCAGGGATGGAACCCCCAAAGTAACAGGACACATCTGTTGATTTACCCTTTTTTACTTGTGCTAGAAGAGGTAGTGAAACAGCCAAGAGAGGGGCCACATGGAGCAGTTTATGTGCCCAGAATCCTTCGTAGAGATCTCAGTGGAACTTGGATGGAGGTACTCTGCAATCCTCTACTGAAGGTTTCTGGCGAGGGCCTTTAAAACCTCTAAGGATGGAAATTCCACCACCTCCCTAGGTAACCCATTCCAGTGCTTTACCACCCTCCTAGTGAAATATATTTCCTAATATCCAACCTAGACCTCCCCCACTGCAACTTGAGACCGTTGCTCCTTGTTCTGTCATCTGCCCCCACTGAGAACAGCCTAGCTCCATCATTTTTGAAACCCCCCTTCAGGTAGTTGAAGGCTGCTATCAAATCCCCCCTCACTCTTCTCTTCTGCAGACTAAATAAGCCCAGTTCCCTCAGCCTCTCCTCGTAAGTCATGGGCCCCAGCCCCCTGATCATTTTCGTTGCCCTCTGCTGGATTCTCTCCAATTTGTCCACATTCTTTCCGTAGTGGGGGGCCCAAAACTGGACACAGTACTCCAGATGTGACGTCACCAGTGCCGAATAGAGGGGAATAATCACTTCCCTCAATCTGCTGGCAATGCTCCTACTAATGCAGCCCAATATGCCATAAGCCTTCTTCACAACAAAGGCACACTGCTGACTCATATCCAGCTTCTTGTCCACTGTAATCCCCAGGTCCTTGTCTGCAGAACTGCCGCTTAGCCAGTCTGTCCCCAGCCTGTAGCAGTGCATGGGATTCTTCCATCCTAAGTGCAGGACTCTGCACTTCTTGTTGAACCTCATCAGATTTCTTGTGGCCCAGTCCTCCAATTTGTTTAGGTCACTCTGGACCCTATCCCTACCCTCCAGCGTATCTACCTCTCCCCCCAGCTTGGTGTCATCTGCGAACTTGCTGAGGGTGTAATTAATCCCATCATCCAGATCATTAATAAAGATGTTGAGTAAAACCAGCTCTAGGACTGACTCCTGGGTCACTCTGCTTGATACCGGCTGCCAACTAGACATCGAGCTGTTGATCACTACCTGTTGAGCCAGCTTTTTATCTACCTTATAGTCCATTCATCCAATCCATACTTTTTTGACTTGCTGGGAAGAATACTGTGGGAGACCGTATCAAAAGCTTTGCTAAAGTCAAGATATATCATGTCCACTGCTTTCCCCATATTCATAGGGCCAGTTATCTCATCATAGAAGGCAATCAGATTGGTCAGGCATGACTTGCCCTTGGTGAATCCATGTTGATTGTTCCTGATCACCATGATTTTTCCAGGGACTGAGGTGTGGCTGACCGATCTGTAGTTCCCCAGGTTCTCCTTCCCTTTTTTAAGAAGGGCCTGGGTGGCTTCAGGATGCAAATAGCCATAGTGTCTGCCTTTGTCACTCTCAGGAGTGAGATACCAGCTAAAATCACCCCTGCCTGTGGAAAACGGTGCTAGTATTCAGTCTCATTGCCCCATACACATATACTCAGGCTTGTGAGCTATTCCCCCCTCATTTCCCCTACCTCCTCCCCCCCTGAGGGCCACATTCACAATGGCAGGATGCTGTGACTGGTGCTGTGGTCTGTCAAGCCTAAGCAGATGTGACAATGTACTGCTTACAACTTTTGGGAAGCAAGGGAAGTGAGTTCAGTATCCTAAGTTTTGATTTCCATTGTGAATACACTGACAATGGTACCTCTCTGTGTTGTATCTGCAGCTGCTGCCATTGTGGCCTTCAGGGTCTCCTCCACACCCGCAGAAAGCCTGAGCCAGATAAGGAAGAGAAAGAAGAGGACTTTTGCTGGCATGTTCCAGGAGAACATGCAAGCCTGTGCTGCATCAGAGAATGAGACCAGGGTCTGGAGGATGACCATTTCAGACAGCATGGCGAAGGAAGAGTTGAGAGGAGAAAGGCAGGAAAAGGAGAGGGAGATGCACTAGGACATAATGGGGTTTCTCATGCAGCAGAGATGCTGCACTGACTCTGGTAGACCTGCAGGTATAAGAATCCTGTGCTCGCCTCCCTCTGCAGCCCATAGAGAACTCAATGTCTCCTACCTTCACCCCCCTCAACATTCCTCATGCCAGTGTTCACTCTAATTTTTCCCACCCATGTGCAGATTGAATTTTGTTGTGTGCACCACTATGGAGGTGATGTGTGACACATCACCTTCATATTGGTGCACGCAACAAAATTCATGTGGTGGGGGTAGGGCCGAGGGGTTCCTGTGGGAGGGGGCTCAAGGCTGGGGTAGAGGGTTGGGGTGCAGGGGGTGAGGGCTCCGGCTGGGGGTGCAGGCTCTGGGGCAGGGCTGGGGATGAGGGGCTCAGGGCTGGGGGCAGAGGGTTGAGTGCAGGGGGTGCAGGCTCTGGGGTGGAGCTGGGGATGAAGGATTTGGGGTGCAGGAGGGTGCTCCGGGGCTATGGCAGGGAGAGAGAACTCTTTCCTCCTCCCCCTCCCCCCGCCCCAGTGCTCTCTCCTTGCAGCAGCAACTGGGCTGGAGTGGAAGAGGCACCTGTCCCTGTCGCTCTAGGGCTGGGGCTGCAGGATAGGTGCCCCTCCCCTGGCCCCAGCAGGTCCGGGCCAGGGGAGGGCCCTGGCTGGGTCCGGTCCACAGGGTGAGTTTGGACGGGGGGGACCTCGCATGGCAGGTTGGGGGCCGGGCTAGGTGGGGGCCGTGGCAGGTCCCCAGCCGGGTTCCCTAAGCGCCTGCGCAGTGCTAAGTAGGCTGCTGTGCGTCCGCGCAGCTTACAGGGAACTTGGGTCACTGCACACCCCTACCACTCCACCCCAAGGGACGTTACAGACCATCAGCTACACATAGACTGACCTGTGAAAGCCATACTTGGTGTATGTGTACCTGAAATGAAAATGTTTTTTTCTTGCCCCTTCATAAGTTCTGTTCCCTTAATTTATTAAGTTTCAAAGGGTTTTGTAATTGCCTGGTTCATATTACAGAATAAAAATCCATTTTTTGGAACAAAATTCATCTTTATTGGTTCACAACATGTGCTGTCTGGTGCTGAGTACGTCTGATAAGTACCAATTTCCTGTTACTTCATTTTGTCACAGAAACCATAACCTCATTCAAGACTATATAATAATAGGTGCATTGGCAATGTTCTATTTCTACACACACAGAATCACCACAAGAATCGTAGCAGGCTGCAAAAGAGCAAGGCCAGGTAGAGCACACTGTTCTGGCTCACTTTTAAATGTTCTTTCAAAGCCTTCCTGAGCTACATCGCTCTGCACTGAGCCCTTCTAATAGCCCTTGTATCTGGCTGTTCAAATTCAGTATACAGCAGCTCCAGCTCCATCACGGTAGAAACTTTCCCCCTTTGACTCTCAGATATTA